ATGGACAAAATCAGCCAAATGACCACTAGACATTGAAAATGCCGAGGGAAGCAACTTTTTTATTTCTCAATATTTTATATCTTATTCAACTTATTTTTTAACCAAATTTTTTTCTAACATTAATTATATTATTATCTACCCGTAGAAACTGGAATTTTATTTTTCCGACTTGTAATTATTTTTATTTATTTTTTTCATTCGAAAATATTTTTAATTACCAAATAAATAGAGAAAAATATCAATATACATTTTAAAAATCACGAAAATTATGCCAAATAGTTCCTGTTGATATTACAATAATTGTTGAATTTTTTTTTTATTTTTCTGGTTTGTAATTATATTTTTTATTATTTTAATTCAAAAAAATACAATAAAATAGATAATAAATAGAGAAAAATATCGAAATATATTTTAAAAATCACGAAAGTTATGCCAATTAGTTCCTGTTGATTATTCAAGTGTTCTTGAAATTTTATTTTATTTTTCTGGTTTTTATTTATATTTTTTTATTATTTTAATTCAAGAAATACAGTAAAATAGATAATAAATAGAGAAAAATATCAAAATATATTCGAAAAATCACGAAAATTATCCCATTTGGCTCCTGCTGTAGTTACATGAATTTATGAAATTTTTATTTTATTTTTATGATTTTTAATTACATTTTTTTATTATTTTAATTCAAAAAATAGATAATAATTAGAGAATATTAATTCGGGTATGAGGTTGAAGAGTGAAGGATAGTTCTTTTACGAAATAGTAATTATTATTTATATTATTCGTATTATTCGGGTACTTTTAATATTTAATTTCTATTTATTCATTATTTTAACTAATATATTCGTTAAAATAGTGAAAAAAACACCAAAGCTCGTTAACATAACCATTCTCCGTGGAATCATACACCCCCCCTACACCCCCCCCCCCCCCACAAGTGAACGTGACGATATCATCTTCGTAGCAAAAGATACGTTGAAAACATTTATCATTGTTCATCGACTTATTGTTCCATGCCTTGCCCAAGCCCAAACTAGTCGCTATTCTCAAAATCTGAGAAAACGGCCCCGACAACCACCGTGCCAAATTCAATTTCCTACGCCCTCGTATTTTTTATTATTTTTTTCGGGTCGGAAAATTTTCGGACTTTCGGCACCGGCCCAGCCAAGGTGCTGGCGACTCTGCCCAAGGTGCTAGCAACCTTGGGCAAAAACTAGTCGCTCCCGACGTTTTCGGAGCAATTCTCGAAATCTGAGAAAACGGCCCCGACAACCACCGTGCCAAATTCAATTTCCTACGCGCTCGTATTTTTTATTATTTTTTTCGGGTCGGAAAATTTTCGGACTTTCGGCACCGGCCCAGCCAAGGTGCTGGCGACTCTGCCCAAGGTGCTAGCAACCTTGGGCAAAAACTAGTCGGTCCCGACGTTTTCGGAGCAATTCTCGAAATCTGAGAAAACGGCCCCGACAACCACCGTGCCAAATTCAATTTCCTACGCGCTCGTATTTTTTATTATTTTTTTCGGGTCGGAAAATTTTCGGACTTTCGGCACCGGCCCAGCCAAGGTGCTGGCGACTCTGCCCAAGGTGCTAGCAACCTTGGGCAAAAACTAGTCGCTCCCGACGTTTTCGGAGCAATTCTCGAAATCTGAGAAAACGGCCCCGACAACCACCGTGCCAAATTCAATTTCCTACGCGCTCGTATTTTTTATTATTTTTTTCGGGTCGGAAAATTTTCGGACTTTCGGCACCGGCCCAGCCAAGGTGCTGGCGACTCTGCCCAAGGTGCTAGCAACCTTGGGCAAAAACTAGTCGCTCCCGACGTTTTCGGAGCAATTCTCGAAATCTGAGAAAACGGCCCCGACAACCACCGTGCCAAATTCAATTTCCTACGCGCTCGTATTTTTTATTATTTTTTCGGGTCGGAAAATTTTCGGACTTTCGGCACCGGCCCAGCCAAGGTGCTGGCGACTCTGCCCAAGGTGCTAGCAACCTTGGGCAAAAACTAGTCGGTCCCGACGTTTTCGGAGCAATTCTCGAAATCTGAGAAAACGGCCCCGACAACCACCGTGCCAAATTCAATGTCCTACGCGCTCGTATTTTTTATTATTTTTATCGGGTCGGAAAATTTTCGGACTTTCGGCACCGGCCCAGCCAAGGTGCTGGCGACTCTGACCAAGGTGCTAGCAACCTTGGGCAAAAACTAGTCGCTCCCGACGTTTTCGGAGCAATTCTCGAAATCTGAGAAAACGGCCCCGACAACCACCGTGCCAAATTCAATTTCCTACGCGCTCGTATTTTTTATTATTTTTTTCGGGTCGGAAAATTTTCGGACTTTCGGCACCGGCCCAGCCAAGGTGCTGGCGACTCTGCCCAAGGTGCTAGCAACCTTGGGCAAAAACTAGTCGGTCCCGACGTTTTCGGAGCAATTCTCGAAATCTGAGAAAACGGCCCCGACAACCACCGTGCCAAATTCAATTTCCTACGCGCTCGTATTTTTTATT